GAGACAGACTCAAGTAATTGCTTATTGGGAGAAAAATTTGTTACTCATCTGTTACTGGGACTGGAGTCAGAAATGTATGTATATGTCTGTATGTGTGTGTACACAGACACACATACATATATACATGCATACATGAGCACATCAATCCATCCATAGATTTCTGAATTGGGTTGCAATAACAGAAGACTACTCAAAATCCTCTGTCTTGAAGAAAAATGATGGCCATCTTTAGTGTATTAGCTTTTGAATTGATATATTATTACTTGCTTATAAAATTGTTGAATAGATTACTATATTTCTTTATAAAATTTATTTTTTAGCTTGATCGTATCAAATTTATTCTTTCCAGTTACCTGAGGACACGCCTTGCAAAAGTAAGTGCATAAAAGGCCAAATTTTCTTAAATTCGGTTTTATTTAGCTGCTGTTTATACATATCAGATTTATTTTTTATTTGGTGTCTCTCTATTGATGAGTAAAATTGGAACTACTCTCATATATGCCCTTGATTGGCAACAAATTTCTCCATGGTGCCATATTACTATCCAAATTTTTTGTCTACTGTTTGAACTTTAAGCCTACAATGTCTGCAAAAACGCGGTTTTCGGAGGTGCAAAACCCACATTTTGAATACGCAATTTAAATTAAAAATCTTTTTTTTTTTTTTTTTTCCTATAAAATTAAAGTTTCTAACCAAAATATTTGATAAGAATCCATGTCAACAAAATTTTTGAACTTAAAAAATCAAAAAATTGCACAATCTATGCAACGAAGGAATCTACGAGCTACGCACACCTTGCTTAAATAAATTTCAAACAATATCATGTACACAGCGTTCTGTTTAAACACAGCGTTCTGTTTAAAAAAAAATCTACAAATTGCACAATCTAGGCATTGTGCACTAATCAACAAAATAACTAACTCAAAATTACATTTGCATAAAAACTCAAAATTGCATTTTCGATTATATATAGGCAACGTAGCTTTAACGTGACACCACGTAATCTCTATTGTATTTATATGACAGCCAGACTCACTATCCGCAAAATTGATACTATGATTCACTAATAAATGTTCAAAAACCTTCTTCACCTAAATCCTTGTAGAATTTCCAGCCACTCGAAAAAATAGTTGTACCAGGCATGCTACTAAAATTTTGCCAACACATTTTTCATTGCATCGTAAACCATTTCTAACCGCCCACTACATGAACCAACCAGCAACTAAAACCTCTACAGTAAAATCCAAGTTTCCAGGTAAGAGTTGCCATAGAAACCAACATTGCCCCCAAAACCAACGCAGAACATGCAATCGCACTAAAAACCAGCGCAGAACACACATCGCCACATTTGGCAACCTGAGGGCATATATAAGAGTAATACCATAAAATTTATCAGATTATGTGTATAATTCATTTCACTTCATAATTTCATGTTTTACGTTTTTAAATATAAATTGAAGATTTTTAGCAATCCTGCATCCATTCAGTGTAGTTTACACTGTGTTTGCTTACTTTATATCTTTAAGTCTTATTTTTATATCAGTTCAAACTTTTTTATTATTAGAGTAAAAGCCTGACTATCTGGAATGCTGAAGTAACCAGAATATTCTAGAATTTAAGGGGGAAAAAATTCGGTTGATCTTTGGATTATGGTAACTTGGTGATTTTTTGGCGAAAATTTGGCGACCAACTCTGCTACGCAACCCCTATTTTTTTTCGCTGCCATTTTTGTTCACGAAGTAAAGACATGTTTCTTTTCTTTTTTTACGCACCCTTTTTTCCACAATCTACTAGCCGATTACCTTGCTAGAAATTTTATGACAAAACTGCTAATCATGACAAATATTACTGCAAAATTGGAAAAAGTGCACAATCGCAAACTCCTTGCGCGTTTTCAGATAGCACATACCTAACCAGTACGTCTACTTATTTTTACTTAAAACAATCCCAAATTGCAAAACATTGCACCCTCTTACTTATCATCGACCTGCTATTTTCTCATAATTACAAAATTTGCACGAAAATGCAAAAAAATTCGTGAATATCTAAACTTGTAAAAGCCATCTTGAAATGACCTGATCGCAAAAAGTATAACCTTTCCAAGATACATTTCCACGGATAAATAAATAATATCCAAAAACTTTTACCTCTAAATTATCTATTATATTAAAACGTCACCAACAATCATCTGCAAACATTACAATGTTACAAATATTGGCAATGTTAAATTATTCCATACATGTTTATTTCACTGAAACATATACCAATCCTACAAACATAAATTCACAAATAACTATCATTAATTAAATATCACTAAACCATGTACTTCGACTTATTGTTTAAAAAATTGCAGAAAATGGCATTGTTCACACTCTCACTATATCCATGTACACAGCTTTTTCTCATAAATGAAAATTCAAAATGCATGAAATACTCACGTTCTACTCAACGTATTCCAAAATCTACAACGATAACTCACAAATACATCATAAATTAAAATATAATTAATTAAAAAACACTACTTAAATAAATAAGCACTACATTAATAATAAAAATTAGATTAAATCCTAATACTTTAAACTAATATTGCTAATAACAATTTTCCAATATACCATATAACTATTTACTCCTTACATTAAACTGCTAAAATAATATCCTCAAATGATTAAAAATACTAACTTACCTATCTTCAAATCTCATTACTGGCCGCACCTTCCACTATTCACACATGAATATTAAACAAAAATATAGTACTACAGTTTTCCAATTCCCCCTTTCCGATTAAAAAACTGTAATTCCATTATGTCACATGACAATCTCATGATCTCTCATTCCCTCACACAAAATAATGCGTAATCGGAACTGAGGACTTCTCACATTATTACCAAAGTCCTAGGTAGTAACCTTTATCGTCTCCAAAATGTCGCCAAACTACCAGTTACCATATTAAAAAGATCAGCCAAAAATTCTTCCCAAAAAATTCAGTAAATGAGAAATTTGTAATGCCATATTAGAGCTTTTATACTATTAACGTGCACAGTCTCACCAGACAGTGTCATTTATGGTCAATAATGGATAAGCACAATGTCATGACACAATCATAAGAAGTTCATTTTTGTTTAATGTAACTCCATTAATTCTTAATAGGACAGTTTAATTTTTGTGAAGTAAGCTCTAAGTTATATCTTTTCCTTACCTTTTTTTTAAATATTAATATCTGGTACAGTGTGCAATGAAGTACAGTACAAAGTCCGTAATCCGGACTCGTCGGGACTTCGTCGATTCCAGATTAGTTTTTTTTTCCGGATTATAGATCATCAATTTAAATCTGGTAAGAGGCATGAGAAATTATACAATAAAAATATGTAACCATAATTATGAATAAGACAATTATGATCTAAGGTACAAAATTTACACACACACACACACACAAAAAAAAAAAAAAAAAAAAAAACTTAATCTTTATTGTTTAGTTTGTAAACCTTCTTTCATGTAGTTGTTTAGTTGCTTCGTTTTTTGTGCTATACTTTCTTTTATTCTTAAACAGACTAATTTCTGTGCAGTTACAAATTTCACAGTTCAGTCTTAATTGCTGTGTCGAAAATACCAACTAACTTGTCAGTCGAAATTTTTTCGTTTCCAATAACGTTCTCTGTTACTTTCTTCACTATTGGAAGCCGCGCATGGGTAAACGTTTTACTGGCTTTACGCGCATGCGTAAATTTGTGGCTTTGAAGTCTGGATTATAGATCATTCCGGATTATGGACTTTGTACTGTATTTTCAAAGTTACAGGATCCGGGCATAAAAAAAAAGGCCATAATACACGCAGCTTTGAAAATGGATAAATGATGTGATGTAATGTGAAAATTTATAAGGGATTTAAGTTTATTATATGTTATATCAAAAATTTGAATCTGTTTTCTATCTAACTAAATAAAGAACGAACGTTTAAACATCTGGTAGAACAATTGGCGACACTTTCGACTTTAATGTTCCTCGGGATTCCATGATCAGATGATATGTTTCATTTTCAGAGTGGCCTGGAAAATACATCGGTTTTTATGTCGGAAATACTTTTTCTTCAAAATCGTATATAATTTTTAATATAAACGTTTGATATTCAAGTTGTTAATAGATAGTGATTGCTGTTATGACTTTAGAATAGAAATTGTTTCCATTCATTTGTTTTTTTCTGACACCAGTTTTTTTTTTTTTTTTTTTTAATGCTCAACTTTCCTAAATTTTCACACATCTGGAATTTGGCATTTCCTGAGCTTTTATTGTATGTTAAAATTCACTGGCAAACTACTTGGCAGCAATTTTTCATCTGGCTAATGCCACGGAAGACAACAAGCATTTTCAAAATAGCAGTGCAGTAAGAAAGCCATACAAAAGCAATCAGTCTATAAAATTTTAAAAGCAAAAGACATAAGCTATGATGTAAGATACAGAATGTGGGTGTATGTCATGAAGTAATATCTCAGCATTTTCCTTGTTTGATAATTTAGATCTTGTTTATCATGAATAAAGTAAGATACAGAATGTGGGTGTATGTCATGAAGTAATATCTCAGCATTTCTCTTGTTTGATAATTTTGATCTTGTTTATCATGTATAAAGTATGTAATACAACTGCTTCGAATTACTAGATGTGTATCTCACAAATCTCTTCATAAATCAGACGCTAGAAATGATAAATCTTAATATGGGAACGACGAACTCCTAGAGAATGTGAATGTTAATCTTTTGTACTGAATTATTCTTGAATTAAAAGCGATTTTTCTAAGAACATGCAAATGATAAGAAGCCTTATTGTCTAATAAGTTACAGTATAGTATGAGCTCAACTATTAGATATTCTAGATAAACCAAAATTTTGTGACTTACTTAACTGTGATACTCTATTATTTTGTACTGGAAACAAATCTGCAATATCTCAAGCTCTATGTTGTTATAATATAAAGCAGGCTTCTATCCCTAAAATTGGTCTCTGTCTCTCTCTCTCTCCTCCTTTTTTTTTTTTTTTTTTTTTTAGTTTGTTGACTATTTGCAATTTGTATCCTGTTAATATCAGATTATTTAGCCAAATGTTGCTAAAAATGCATGCACTTAGTATTTAGCTTTGTATTGTAATGGAAAGGAAGACTATTTTAAACTGTTAGCATTATCTTCAAAGTTGAGTGAGTTTTATATTTATGCAATGATGCACTGTTTTGGTATGGAATTATATTTATCAGAATATTGTGAAGTGGATAATGAGAAAATATTTCAAAATACAAATTATCTTTACATGAATTTTATTATTTTGTTGTTATAAAACAGTAGTAGTATAATCTGCTTTGTTGTGTTAAATGTTAAGTTATAAAAAAATTATGTATTAATTAGAACAAATAAGAAAAAAAATTAGATCACTGCATGCTATTTCATTGAAGGGTAGTCCAATATTATCAAAATGTTGCCAGAATGGTGGTAAATGGGGCTGAAACATAGAATTTAATGTGGGAATGTTATTATTTGGCTGAAAGAAGAGAAGTGAGGCTGGGAAAGCTTTTTTTCATACCTTTGAGAGACAGTGCAAACAATAATTATGAACTCCAAAAATTGAAACTAGTGTTTTTTATTTGGGCAGTAGGAAGATATTAAAGACTTTTTAACTACCTTTTATTTAATATACATATGTGATCACTTGTTCTGAATTTTAAAATTCTGTTAGCTTGACATATATGTTTAAAAATACATTTACAAGAAATTTTATAAATGCTGCATGACTGAAGATCTGGTATTCATTCATTTACAAATGAAAGCATTATTTTATTGCCAGAAAAGAAACCTGAAAGTCATGTTGCATAATTATGTAGTATATGATCTACCACTTTTAATCTGTAATTTATTTTTTAAATGACCACATAATAAAAGTTGTTGTAATTTAAAACATTTATTTTTTCGGTCATTTTATCACATATTCAAATTTAAAAAAATGGTTTAATGGTATCATCTAAAAAATAAACAACTAACTAAAAGCAGTAGGTTGTATCCAACATGATTATTGCATATTGTGATTGTTATAAATCTTTTTTGTACCATGCACCCTTTCATCATCATGTCATTCCCCCTTCCTTTTTAAAATGTGAAAGATTTATGCACATTTATTTAAAATTAAAATTATTTTTTAATGTGTTTTATAAATTAAACAAGAAAAAGTATAGAAAATAATCATAATATCAAAACTTGAAAAGTAGTTTTTTATATTCATAAACCAATTTGTGGTCATAAATTAAAACTAAATACTTAACAGGTAAATATAAAGCTGATTGTATTTCCTCCCCTGGTTGAGATCCCCTGTGATATTGTTTGCAGCATTTAGCTCATAAAAAACTTCAAAAAAAAAAATTTTTTTTTTTTTTTTTTTTTTTTTTTTTTTTTTTTTTTTTTTTTTTTTTTTTTTTTTGAGTTTTTGGATATTTATAAGTATTATAACATGTACTGAACTTAAGATGATCTGCTTTTTACATGAATTTTTTTAAAAAGCTGTCTTATTTTGTTTTGTGTGGATTATCTGAGTATAAGAATGGAAAATGTAGCTTTTGAGAGATAATGTTAAAAATGTATATATTGCTGATTTTGTGTAATGAATGCTGAAAATGTTGAAGAAACTAATACCGTTTTTTTTCCTTCATTGCACTATAGATTGAAAAATTTGGACCTCACCTGCTGTATTTAGAACAGCGGGAATTAAGCGATCCCAACCAAATGTCAGATGAGGAAAGACGGTTTGCTCAGAGGTTGTTTTCTTTTAATATTCTCTTAGAACTTATATTAATATAGATTCTTTTAAATACATTTTCAAAAATTTTGGAGCCTCGGTGTTTGAATAGAATTTAGGTTGAAAATGCTTGCTTGCAGTGTAGGATGGCTAATATGATCTAGTAGCTTGGTGTCCATAAAAGCGAATGCAGCATGAAGGTAAACAACTAAGCCTCTTTCTGCTTCATTTCCCTCAATTGGTCTCATAGAAAGAATCCAAATATGCTAGATCTGCATTTGCAGTGGCCACACAACTAGATCCTCACATTCAGTTTGATGTCCTGGATATTCCATATCTAGCCAATCATATTTGAGATAACTGAAATATACAGTCAAAAGCCTTTAATTTGGACGTCCATAATCCGGACCCCAAAGCTACGAACTTTCTGCGCATGCATAAACGCTTAATGCGTTTACGCATGCGCATATGCATTTACGCATGCACGTTTAATGTATAACGGACAGTATAAGCTAAGCTAAAATTATGTAATTATCTATTTCAGTTATGTTGCATTGTGTTTTCCTTAATCTTCGAATTGGATCCGGCTTATTATTTTTGGCAGACTGTTGAGCAATTTTATAAGTAAGCTTGAACTTTCGATTAGTCAAAAAGAATTTCCAATTCTGGAGCTCCAAAGGATCTACAAAAAAGCATGTTTCGAGTCCATCAAACAAAAAGTGGAATTGCTGAAAAAATGGATAAGGCTATCCTTTGTTTCTCTAACCATTTCGAAATATGTTTATCAATTTTCACGCTGCTCGTGGGGGGGGAAACGTGTGGTGCGCATGAACTGGAAGTTGATCTGTCAGCACTATCCTTATCTTCAGGGCAGATGTTTTTATTTTATTCGGCTTATAATTCCTTACTAATGTAGTATTTCATCTCGATGTACTCAGTCTTTGATATCTTAAATCAATTCCTCGTCATATAAATATCACGAATACACATCAAATAGTTTTCTGGTTTGCAATTTTCTAATTTCGATGTGATATATGCTTTACGCATGCGCGCATTGAAAGAAATGTTTATAATAAACCAATAAACTTTTTTTTTTTGTTTTTGATACCCTTTAGATCATAATTGCTTTTTTTCATAAATTAGGGTTTCATATTTTAATTTATAATTTCTGCATGCCATCTTACCAGATTTAAACTGATGACCTATAATCCGGAATCACCGAAGTCCCGACGAGTCCGGATTAAAGACTTTTGACTGTACTATAGCCCTTTTACTCTAAATTATTGGCTGATATGTGAAGAAGTACTAAATATGAATGTATGATGAGACTTTAGGCAACAGATAAGATCTATGATCCAATAATACAATTCTCCTGTTAGGGTGAATTCTACAAGAAATGAACTAAGACCATATATGGCTACTGTAACTTTTGAAGATCTCAATGCTGCCCAATCGGTATAGTGATTAGTGAACACTGATTGCTGTATCAGTGGTCCCAGGATTGAATCCCAGAAAAGACGGGGATTTTTGTAAGCATATAGTGTCTTTGCGGCAAGGGGAACTCAAATGCATGGCAAGCTGAATGTCCTCTCAAGAGGTTGGTGGTAGGGGGAAGGGGTGGAACACCATCAGACAATCTCCCGCCATGTTCTTCCTCAAAACTGGGATAGAAGCTTAACATAATTAACTAAGTAGTTGGCTAGGTTCAGCAATACCTTGATCACTTACGGTACTAAAAGATTCTGGTCTACCTTCTACCTGTACCACCTTCTTCTTCTTGACCTCAACAGCCTCTATAGGCCAAGGCTGCTTTTCCAAGTTTTTTCCATCTGATCATATCCAGCGCCACAGCTTCCTATCAGTTTCAAATTCTTTTCCGCAATATCCTGCCATCTAGTGGGTGGTCTTTTTCATTGCTTCCCTTCTATTTTGGAGGAGGTTACCTCTTTGGTGCAAAATGACTCATCATATCTATAAATATGGCCTAGTCATCTAATACAAGATGCCTTTATAATTTTGACAATATCAGGTTCATTATATTCCCTGCAGATTTCATGGTTATATAATATTCTCCACAGTTTATTTTGCCTCACTAGTTCAAAAATCTTTCTTAAAATTTTTCTTTCAAATATCAGTAGTAGATCTTCCTCTGTCTTGTTTAGTATCCAGCATTCACTTCTATCTGTATACAGGGCCATAGGTTTTATCAGAGTCTTATGTAAATTTATTTTGGTTTTTATGCTAATTAATTTGGATTTAAGTTGGTTTCCATACCCATAAAAATATCTGTTGATCATGAATATACTGTTTTTAATTTCAATTTTAATGCCATTGAAGCTTGAAATCACTGTACCCAGATATTTTAATTATTTAACAGTTTCAAAAGTATAATTGTTGATCTTTAAAGGGGGTAGGTTACATTATTTTATTTATTACCGTCATAAATTTTATCTTACCCTCATTGATGGTTAGCTGCACTACCTGTACATGAAAAATATGTTTTTTCATGTACAGGTAGTGAAATTTTTTCCTACCTCAAAGCAGAGGATGTGATTGACTGTTTATTTCAGTATTTTCATATTATCACAAACACCACCTTGGTAGAAGTCGCCGAACTGTGACAACCATGTGCATAACAATTCTTCAGGCAATCATATCAATAATTGTAAGTTTGAATCAGCAATGTCAGCATTTTTGTGCATGCTGTTTTGATTGTGTTGGAAAGCTCTAAAGGTAAACTGGAATGTTTTAGGTCTTCAGCTGAATTTTGAAATATGCCGTTGTGAGATTTGCCTGCAATTGAAGAAAGTTATGTGAAATTTTCTCCAAAATGTAATATTTTGTCAAGGCAAGAAGTTCAGATTTGTATTTGATGATGTTATATTTAGGAAAGCGACATTTTTAAAAATGCAGCATGAAAAAATGTAATTGAAGCAATATTTGGTTCAAGATTAGTTGACTGCTATTTACTGCTGCATTCAAATTTATATACTGCTGGAGTAAAGAATTAATAAGTTGTTTCCCATTGCTTTGAATCTGTTCTTAAAGCTATCAGTATGAAATTTTCACTAGAAGAAAAGAAACAAAAACTAAACAAAACCCTTTTTGTAAGTAGTTTTATAAATTGTTTTTCTAGGTTAAATATTGAACTAAAATTATAATATGTAACTAATAACATATATGATACAAAATAAATAGCTTTCACTAATTTTAAATTACTATTCTTTTTCTTCTTCAAAAAATCGCCAGATTGTGGCAAGTTGGTTGCGATACTACCAAAGTACCTTTATTTGCATAACAAATTCACCCATCATCATTTGCTTATTATGCAAATTTTATGCTTTCACAAATATATATATATATATATTAATTAACATTTTTGTTTATTAAGAGAAACAAAAATTTCTGTTTGTTTTGCTGGAAATGATTATTGCAAATTATCTTTTATCAATGCTTTGTTCTAATCAATAAAAATTTTTTTATTTTATTTAAAAAGTGAAGGGATTTACAGTAGATAAAGAATCAGTTGCACAATTGTAGATTTACATGTATTTATGTGTTAAGTAATTTACTATTACTTTTTGAAACTTCCTCTCCCCTTGCTTTTAACTGTATACTGTATATTTTTATTTTAAAAAAAAATATATATACATGTTTTTGTTTAATTTATATACATTTTTTTTAATCCAAGAGGATGTTTACTCTTCACGAGAACATCTAACATACACAAAATAATTTACATCAGGCTTATTGTTTAAATGCATGTTGTGCACTTATTGAGAAAATTATCCTAAGATACAACTTTATGTAGGATAAATAAGTTTTAAACAGTTCAGCTGCATAATATTTAAAATATTTCTGTGTTTTGAGAAATTGCAATAATCATGTTATAAAAATAATCAAGGGAAAGCTATGTTAATTATATCTAATTGCATTTACCTAAGGCATTACATTATCTATGAAGATTACTAATTGTTTTAATGATTTTAAATCTATATTGGATTGCAAGCATAATTTCTTTATTTTTTTTTCCATACAGATATACATCAAGTATGAAAAATTATTTGCATGATGCTGCACTGAAGCACATGCCAACGAACATGCAATCTTTGAAACTTGAAGAAATTGGTATGTTATATTAGAAATAATAATCAGAAATATTATATATTTATGTATATATAATATATATAATATTTAATTAAGGCAAAAAACTATCATTGCCTGAAATCCATATAACTTCTCATATGTCAACTGTGAAATGCAGATGATGTCAGTGATTTTTGTCAGCAGGTTGAAGTATTCAGTACTGAAGCAAGCTACCATAGTCTATTGATAACTGCTTAATATCTATCACTAAATGAGTGTTTTGCTAAATATGTGCCTGTAATTGAAGAGTATTTAATTTGCTTTCTATTAACCCTGAAGTTGTTGAATAATTCTTAAAAAATTTATTATCTTTTATTTCACATGTAACTTTAAACTTGGAATTATTGTGATATATTTTACAAATCCAGAAAAAAAAAGTCTGAAAGTGTTTAGATTTTACATTATGCGCAAAGGAGCTTTTTTTAACGTTTTGTGGGTTACCTTTATCTATTAAATATCGTGTTCTTCGCGCTTAAACCATACAATTCAATTCAACAGCAATATCGCAAAATAATTTTTAAATGAGCATAGCTTTAAAATTTCCAATACACAGTCTCGCACACTAGGGATAATTTTTTTTTTTTTATCCTCTGTACAGTGTTGCCATTGCTCACTTTGAAATTGTTGAGTTTGTAATCAAAAATTCGTTAAAGAATTACAAAATATGAAATCAATAATAAAACAAATTCCAAATTTCGGTTTCAAGATGCCCATATCGGTAGAAAATTACATTATTCAAAATTCGATGGCTCTAGGTACTGTTACTTTATTACAATGCGAGAAACAAACTTACAGTTATACAGATTTTTCCTTATTTAATTTTTTTAAATATAACGCAGGATGATAATATTTGGTGGCAACAATTTGAAAAGTGAAATGGACATTTAAAGTTTTCGATTCAAAATGACAAAACGAAATTAATAGCCTTTCTGGACCAACAACCTTTGGGCTAAAAAAGAATACTTTTTAAGTTATAAATATCTAATAATGCTTATTGAAATAGAATTAATATCAATGTATAACAGGTGTCATAAAAATTGCAGAATTTTTAGATTCACTCGTTACTTTGGAAATGTGCATTTATAAAAAGATTGTATATTTTTTTAGTGCTGAAATGGGAAAAATGAACTAACTATATGGTCATCAGAATTTGAACCATGAATCTTCCAATTGTTTGCTGGATTTGCTGGCAGTTCAGCTATAGCAGTACACATAAGAGAATGCAACGGTTTATTGTACTGTCTCTCATTTAAAAAGATAATTGGGGAGAGGACAAAATTCAAGTGGTAGTGAATTATCATTCATCACATTTTTAGTTTTGGTGCCACTGCAGAGACATTATCTTTCACTATCACTCACTCATTTTAAGGGAACCAAAGAAAAAACTTTATTTGTACTGTAAAATGATTTTTAAAGCCCTCATTCATTTTATTTACAGGTTTAATAAACCATCAAGTGCAATTCAATTTTATACAAAAGAAGTATATATCTTGGGACCATTAGGTTTTCAAAGCCAGGGGACTTGAAAAATCAGCTGTGCTTTGGATTTAAATCATAGATTTTCCAACTGCTAGCTAGCAATGCTAACGATAGTATGATGAGGACATCCATCAAGAAATGCAATACAGTCAAAAGTCGTTAATCCGGACTCGTCGGGACTTCGGCGATTCCGGATTATAGATCATCAGTTTAAATCTCGTAAGATGGCATGCAGAAATTCTAAAATTAAAAGTATGAAAACATAATTTATGAAATAAAGAACAATTATGATCTAAAGGGTATCAAAATTTGCAAAAAGAAAAAGCTTAATATTTATTTGTTTACTTTATTAAACATTTCTTTCAATGTAAGTTGTTTAAGTTTTGCTTCGTTTAATGTGATAATACTTTCTCTTTAATTCTATTAAACAGACATAATTTCTTGTTCAGTTACAAAGTTCCGCTGTTCAAGTCCTATAATTGCTGTGTCAAGAATACCAACTAATTTGTCAATCGAAATTTTTTCGTTTTCAAATAACCTCTCTGTCACTTTCTTCACTATCGTAAGCGAATTATAATGAAGTGGAATTTGATTTAAATTCATATCAAAGATGGAGTACATCGATGATGAAATGCTACATTTAGATAAGAAATTATAAGCCAAATTAAAATAAAAACATCTGAACTGAAGATAAGGATAGTGCTGACAGATCAACTTCCAATTCATTACCTCGCGGCGTTCCCCCCGCCGAGCAGCGTGAAATTGATAAACAGATTTCGGATTTCAAAACATACTTTCGCTTTAGATCCTTTACATATTAACAAATATATATTGGAAATTCTATTTGATATAATCGAAAGTTTAAACTTACTTTTATAAAATTGCTCTTACAGTCTGCAAAAAATAATAAGCCGGATCCAATTCGAAAATTAAGGAACAACGCAATCATCAACATTAACTGAAATAGATAATTATTTAGCTTATACATCCATTATACATAAAACGCGCACGCAAAAACGTATTCTGCACTTGCGCACACTCATATGCGCAGTCGTAAAAGGTCTTACGCGCACGCGTAAACGCCTATTCGCATGTGTCAACGCGGCGCATGCGCAGAAAGTTTTTAGTTTTGAGGTCCGGATTATAGATCATTCCGAATTAACGACTTTTGACTGTAGTACCTTATTCAGGCAGCAGTTATTGTCTTTTTCTAAATTTTATGAAAAATAGTAAGCTGCCTGCTTTCAGACATGAATATTTTAAGTGATTTTGAAATGATTAAATTAACAGTTAACCTAATTATCAAATGAAAAATTTTTCCTCTTAATTCTGGGATTGGTAATTTTTGGCAACAGGTTGAAGTATTCAATAAAGAAACTACTGCATTCTGTTAGTCATTGCTTTTATATTTGTCACCAAATAAGTATTTTGCTAAAAATCACTAAACTTATGCCTGTAACTGAAGGTTAATCCAGTGCTCCTTCAGTAAAGCAAGACTACAGCAACTAGAATCATTGTATTCTTTTGTTAATGTTATAGCAGCCAAAATGTGCACAAACATGCCAGAGATACCAAACTTTGCGACTCAACATATTTTAATCAAGTTATGTTCTTCCTTATAGCTTGGGACCTGAGGTTTTTTCCAATTTTCAGGTCATAAAGAAAATGTTATTAGGTTTTCTATAATAAAAAGAAGACTGAATATATTTTTAAAAAACGCTTTAATTTCTTTTTGATTTTTTATAGAGAAATATATATTTCAGTTTTATATACAAAAATAGATATAGAAAGCACATGAAGAATTATTCTTTATCTTTTTCAAATATCTGTTTAGAGTTTAAAACTTAAGGAAGTTCTAGTTTGATTCCCTTTTCCTCAAATTCTGGAATCATTATTTTTCTATCAGTCACACAGTTATAATGGAATTTCAATTGCTGCACAAGCATATATGTGTGGTTGTGGCATGTAGACTGAAATAGTAACAGCAACCTTAATGGTACATACTGAGAAATATAATCATAGGTATTTAGGGGAGGGGAAGTATTTTGCTATGGGTAGTTCTTCTCTGAAAGAATTTAATGCAGACCTTCATTTTATTTCATTTCAATAGGTAGTTTGCCAAAATATTGTACAAAACATGTAACTAGATCAAAACAAACTGAATCACAATGTTTGGTATGAGACCACTCTTTTGTAAACACTTATGCATAATTTGTCTTTTGCACATTAGCAAAAAGTACAAAAATTCCAATTACAGTAGTATGTCCATTTCACAGGTAATATTTCCCAACTCCTAACAAACTTTGTATAAAACAGGATATTCATATAATATGCAGTTAAGTTTAATTGGTAAATTTGGTAAATTAAATGTTTAGTTTAGTTAATAATTATGCAAGTAAGATATTACAAGCATTAAGTATTGTAATAATAAAATATTCTATACACAACACACAGTATATGTCTAAATAATGTTGTAGAGACGTGAGGATTTTTTGGAAGTAGGAGATTTAAAAAATGAGCAATGCCCATGTCGAGAATCGAACCACTGACCTCTCGAATACGTGCCGAGCGTGCAGACCACTACGCCATGAAGGCGCGCTAAGAAGGTGGGAAAAATACCTTATAATGTAATGTAAAATAGTATATTGTATACTAGAGTATACCCTGTTGTATCTTATATGGTACTAAAGAAGCAGAAAATGAAGGGTGTCAGTTTTTATACTGTGCAGCCTAACGTACCATCTAGTTGTAACAAAAGTTTCCTGCCGAAAAACAATCTTAATAATGTTAGAAAATAAGCCATGAAAAGCAGTACATTTAGTGCAAGTAGTAATCACCACCCAAATTTATAATTTTCTGCCAATGTTTTGATAGTTTTTCAAAAGCCTTCGGCTGAAAAACTTGGTGGTCCAAAAACAGATCGACTTCATTTCAGATGTCCTGTGCAGAATGGAAGATAGCACCAGCAAGATGTAGCTGTAGGTGTAAAAGGTAGAAATCCAAAGGAGCGATGTTGGGACTATATGGTGGATGTAGCAAATAATCCCCATTCAAGTCCATACAGAGTCCAGTCATTGAATGCAGACACATGTGGTCTCGCATTATCTTGATGGAACAATACCCTTTTGCAATGGAGCGTAGTTCGACGTTTTTCCTTGATAACAGCATCAACTGCTGTATATTTTACTGTCAAAGGGTTGACTTTTTCCGCATACCTTTTTGTGGATATCCAAAGCAATCCCATCAGATACAAAGCATGATCTTTTTTTAATTGAATTGCGCTTTGCGAGGCTGCAGACAGCCTTATGCAGACACAGATCAGCCTCCTTTTTGGCCTCTGTTGTTATTGAAGTCAATCCACTTTTCATCACAAGTGATGATCCGGTCCAGAATTTTGTCCTTGCATTGATATTTGAACTAATTAGTGTGGGCTCGAACATGTCTGTCATTACCTGTTTGAGTCAGCTCATGCTGCACCCAGCAATTGAACTTGTACGTCAAGT